TGTGGGAGAAATATATTTTACCTCCATGGAAATGGTGCACAGTCACATGTTGTCAGACACAACTTAATGAGTGAACAACAAAAAACACGGAATCTGGCCATCCTCCCACCGAAGCGCATAGTCTTAACCACTGGGCCACCGGGGAATTCCCCCTCAGGAGTCTTTCCTGAAATATCCCCTCACTCCCACCCATGCTCCTTTCTCTGGGATTCCATAGATGCAAGTGAGCACTCCTCTATCCCAGCACTGGTAAAATTGGCAAGACTGCAATTCTTTGGTCTTTTACTAGTGTTGCAGAGAAGAAGCCAATTCTGACTCCATGTTGAAACTATTTCTTTGACTTGCTTTTCTGTTGCTTTTGTTATTACAATCACAGATAATGGCCTGCCTCAGAAGACCCTGCCAGTTTGCCTGATTGTAAACTAAAGAGCCTTTGTTCAGCTCTTTAAGAGATAATCTGACCCTGCCCACCTGTGAATAGCTGCAACAAAAAGGAGAGATTAACACCCCCCTTCCAAAGGCTGCCCATTCCCTTGTAGATGTTTTGCAAGACTGAAGACCCTTTCACAGTCTAAGGGAGATAGTGTTACAGAGTACAAGCTCCCTCTGCTCGCCATAAAATAGGCCTATGAATCTGAGAGAAGTGTTGAGGCAAGGAAGGAATACGATTTTATTTGGAAAACCCATTGACAGAGAAGACGCCAGACTAGTGTCTCAGTTGATGATGGATAGGGAAGCCTGGCATGCTGCAGTCCGTGGAGTTGCAAAGAGTTGGACATTACTGAGTTGGACACAAACTGAAGACCCTTTCACTTTATTTCCCCACTGCCACTCCCTCTCTTTTCTGCCTTTGGATTTTAGTTCCTCATTGCTTCTTTCTCTCTGATTCTACAAAAGAAACTGGCATCCAGACTTCAACAAGATGGTTACTCTCAAAGAGTAGGGGCTTAATTAATAATCTGCTAAGGGTCTTACAGATAAAGGCCTTTTATCTCTTTTATCCAGGCATAAGATAGGGTCCAGAGGAGAAGTCACTTATTGAGTACTTATTGTGAATGGTCATCCTGGGCCTTGTTCTGCAGATGTTCTTTTAGAATTACAATTGTAAAGAAAAAAATGATGCCTGCCATTCTGGTTCTACAGGATCAAGGCACTGGTCACTGGAGTCACCCACCAACAGTGTACCCTGAGGGGGGATGAAGGGAAAAAAAAACCAACCACAATGTTGCATTCTCTGCTTTGGATACTAGAGTCCCTAGATAGTTAAGATACCTATCTAAGGAAGAATTTTAATGACCCCAGATTCTTGCATCATCCCATTAAGCACTTAAGTCACTAACAGTTATCTTTTTCTGTTTAAACACAGGTTTTTTCCCAGCCCCCCCCCCCAAAAAAAAAGATCCTGAATATTCTGACTCCTCCCTTATCTCTTTGGAAGCAGTTCCTCAGAGCTATCTGAGAGGCTATGGTCCTCAGTAAGGTACCCTAAATAAAACTTAACTCACAACTTTAACATTGTGTGTTTTTTCTTTCAGTTCACATAATCTTGATTTCAGGATCAGAAAATAGGCTCAGGAGGGTCTTCCCTGATGGTCTGTGCATGGGTGCATGCTCAGTCGCTCAGTTGTGTTCGACTCTTTGTGACCCCATAGACTGTAGCCTGTCAAGTTCCTCTGTCCATGGAATTTTCTTTCTTTCTTTCTTTTGTCCATGGGATTTTCCAGGCAAGAATGCTGGAGTGGGGCTTCCCTGGTGGCAGAGTGGGTAAGAATCTGCCTGCCAGTGTAGGGGACATGGGTTTGATCCTTGGACTGGGAAGATTCCACATGCCCCAGACAACTAAGTTCCTTCTCCCGGAGTACTGAACCCTCGCGCCTAGAGCCTGTGCTCTGCTACGAGAGAAGCCACCACAGTCAGATGTCTACGCACCACAACAAACAGTGGCCCCCGCTCACACTTGCTGCAAGTAGAGAAAGCCCAGGCACCGCAACAAAGACCCAGTGCAGCCAAAAAAATAATAATAAAATAAATAGAAAATTAAAAAAATACTGGAGTGGGTTACCATTTCCTACTCCAGGGGATCTTCCTGATCCAGGGATCAATCCAGAGTCTCTGGAGTCTCCTGCACTGGCAAGCAGACTCTTTACTATTGCACCACTTGGGAAGCCTGGTGGTCCAGTGGTTAGGAATCCACCTGCCAATGTGGGGTACATGGATCCCATTCCTGTTACAGAAAGATCCCCCCATATGCCTCGAGGCAACTAAGCCTGTGCACAGTAACTATTGAGCTGTACGCCCTGGAGCCTGTGCTTCACAAGAGAAGCTGCTGCAATAGAGAAAGCCCTCGTGGCAACGGAGACCCAGCACAGCCAACAATAAATAAATGGGCTTAGGACTGTCAACTACAAATTGGCACCTGCCAAGAGAATTTGCTGGGCTTCCCAGGTGGTTCAGTGGTAAAGAATCTGCCTGCCAAGCAGGAGACACAGGTTCAATCCCTGGGTTGGGAAGATCCCCTGGAGAAGGGCATAGTGACCTACTCCAGCATTCTTACCTGGACAATCCCATGGACAGAGGAGCCTGGTGGGCCAGTCCATGGAGTTGCAAAGAGGTGGACACGACTGAGCAACTAAGCTCCATGCTGCCTCTTTGGAACAGTCTATCTGAGCTATCTGAGGTGCTCTCTTCCAGGCAGCAGTCCTCATTTTGCACCAAATAAAACTTAACTTGCCACTCTCACCTTGTGCATCATTTTTAGTCAACAGGATAAAGAACCTTCAGTAAGGCTTGTGTGGGGCTTGTCTGTGTGCATCCCCACTGTCCACTTTTTCAGGGGGCAAATGTGATTGCTAGATGGAAAATGAACTCCCTTGAAATAATTCAGGCAGTTTCAGAAAGTGAAGGGTACTTTCTGGCAAAAGGGGCCAAGTGCAGAGAGCATGAAACAATGTCAGGAGACCCAGCCACATGCTGCAGGGTTTTGCAGCTCACAAGGACTCTGTGATACAGGGGAAAACTCATACTGCCCCAAACTGTCCTTTCCCTAGTGCATCCTTGTTCCTGTGCCCATGCTTTGGGAGAGGACTTCCTCATGATTTCAGTAGTTGCAGCTCCCGGGCTCAAGAGCACAGGCTCAGCGGTTACGATGTATGGACTTAGTTGCTCTGAGGCACGTGGAATCTTCCTGGACCAGGGATTGAACCAGTGTCTCCTGCACTGGCAGGTGGATGGATTCTTTACCACTGAGGCATTAGGGAAGCCCTATCCTTATGTCGAGGGCTTCCCTTGTGGCTCAGATGGTAAAGGATCTGCCCATAATGTGGCAGACCTGGGTTTGATCCCTGGGTCAGGAAGATTCCTTGGAGAAGGGAATGGCTACCCACTCCAGCAGTCTTACCTGGAGAATCCCATGAACAGAGCAGTCTGGTAGGTTACAGTCCATGGGGTGGCAAAGAGTTGGACAAGACTGAGCAACTAACACTTTCACTTTCCTCAAGTGAGTTCTTTGATCTCACATGGAACTTACACTGAAGGTGGCTGGGGGAGTTAGCCCTCCATAATGTCTACCATCCTAAATAACCTTCTATTTAAGTTATATAAAAATAAACACACATAGTGTGTGTGTGGAGGGGGTGATTTTAAAAACATCTTAAAAAAAAAAAAGACCATCTTCAATTGGTCTAAAATACAGTCCAAGTGGTAACCTTGCTTATTATGCTTTCTAGTAATAGAAACATTGCTTTCACTAATGCTTAGTATGCAGATGAACTTCTAGATAAGTCCTTGGGCTCTTGTTTCTTAAGCCTCACTCTGTGAAAGAGGGGGACAGGCCCTGGAGATCATAAAGTGCTTCCTGTTGGGTTTGGAATCAGGAGGTGCTCAGGTTGTCTGGACTGTCTAACTGTGTTGTGTGTTTTGTCAAGTCATCCCACCCCCATTCAGAAAGGAACTGTGTCAACATGCTCTGAATGACATTCAGTGGCAGTGTGAACCTGCAGCTACCAGCTTGAGATAAGCACCTTAAATAAAGTCATTCTACCAGCAGTCTTTGCCTAATTGGGAAAAAAAAAAAAAAAAGGCAAAAACATGGACTTTGGAACTATGTAATCTCTGCTATTGTTACAAAACTTCCCAGAACCTATTTCCTTGTCTCTAAAATGGAAGACTAGCACATTCTACCATTAGTGGCTGCGAGGGTTCAGGCTACTGGTGGAAAGCCTCAAACCCAATGTTCTGCACTGACTTAGTTCTCTACAGGATCTCTGACTCTAAAACACCTACTTTGCTGGTCGAAGTAACTTCAGGCAGGAAATGTCTTATTCTCAGGGAATTCTAAGTTCCATCTATCTCTACATTCCTTGTAAAGAATCTGCCTGCAATAAGGGAGACCTGGGTTCAATCCCTAGGTCAGGAAGATCCCCTGGAGAAGGGAATGGCTACCCACTCCAGTATTCTTGCCTGGAGAATTCCACGGACAGAGAAGCCTGGTGGGTTACAGTCCATGGGGTCGAAAAGAGTCGGAAACGACTGCGCGACTAACACTTTCACTTTCTTTTTACATTTGCAAATTTTAAGTTTTAAACTGGAAAAGTGCATCTGGCTTAAAAGCATATAATTGTTAAAGATGATCATCATTGGTTTTTGTCTAATAATGAGAAAAATGGGAAACAGCATTTTTAAAATGTCCTTTAAAGTAGGAAACTGATGCAAAACACCGCGCAAAAAAACAAGTAAAATATGTAGATACATAGGCAAAGAAGCATCACCAGCAAGCGCTGGCCGCTGGGAGTCGGGAGGAGTGGAAGGACGTGATCTCTCCCTGTAGTTTTGTATTTTGAGTTTCCAACAATGACCACGTACAGCTTTAAAATCGGAAAATCTTGGTAAGTCCTGGCGGACTTGGGAGGAGAGGCAACAGGCGGATGCGGGCGGGACCGGGGCGGACCCCAGCGCGTCGCGGGGGCCCGCGAGACGGGGCGGGGCGCGGAGACCCAGCCCTGCCCAGGCCGGCGCGGGCAGTGCAGGATTCGCGACACCAGGAGGCCGGCGACGCACCGTCCGGAGCGCCAGGCAAGCCAGGGGCCCCGGGGCCGGAAGGCGTGCGGGACCGCAGGCCAGCGGGGACCGGACCGGGACTAGGCGGAGCCCCAAACTTTCTTGGAGTGCGTGGCGGGCCGGAATGGGGCTCTGTCGTCCTCATTTTTGAGTTCCTCTTTCTCAGCGCGCCCCGGGCGGGCGAGTGGCGCCTGTTTAGCTTTGGGAGCCCAGCCGCGGGGTTGTGGGCGCGGGCGATCAGGCCCGGATCTGAGGGTGTCCCGGGTCCCTGCTTCCTATCGCGGATCCGTCGCCGGGCGTGTCCACAGGGCCAGCCCCAGGGTGGCCAGCTGTGCGTGGGATAAAGGGTGTCAGGGGCCTTCAGCTGGTGGGAGGGGGAAGGGAGGCGGCCCGGGCCTGGCCTCGGCCGCCTCTGACGCCCTGGTGCCAGCTTGGGTGTAGACAGGTGACCGAGTATTTGAGTGAGGGAGAGAGCGGGTGGGAAGCCCCGAGCAACTCACATCCTTGGTGTGGGGAACTTGTCACCTCTGTCACCAACCAGGCCTTTGCCTCAGTCCCCTCTCCCCTACACTGGTCTAGCCACTTCCCTCAGGCTGGGTTCTGAAAACTACTGGGAAGTACTCTTTCTTGTGGCCTCTTTGGGTGGGAGTATAAACCAAGCAGGAAAATGGGAGCCGGGAGAACCGTGGAGACAGCAGGAGGGAAGTGGAGGCAGGCTGTTCGGAGGCTCGGCCCTGATCTTGTGGGTTTTGCTCTAGCTGTTGTCTTCCCCGGGGGTCACCATCCCCTCTGACTCCATAGTGGCCTCTGGGGTTGGGATTGCCCCGAGGAACCTGGTCATGGGATAGGGGGAGGTGGGGGTAGGCCTGGGAACTAGGGTCAGAGCCAGATGTCATGGAAGGTCCCTCGGGTGTCCAGTTCTCTGGGGCTCTGAAATATTCATCTCACTGGTGAGCTTTGGTTTCAAAGCTAGCGCCTTTGGCTTGGCCAGTGGTGGCAGGAGGAGCCAGGAGCCCTTGGGGCTGCTTTGTGTGGGGCAAGGGGGCAGCCATACTTCCTCCTCACCTGCCTGCTCTGTCTCTCCACGAGGCCCCAGAGACCCGGTTTATAACTTAAAAAGTGGTGGGACCACACAAGGGGTCAGGGGCCCTGACTTCCTCTCTTCTTGTGCCCTGAGCTCAGGGCCTCACCTGTAAAAGTGGGCACGTCAGAGAGGTAATGATGGGGTACACCTCCAGTGTGGGGAGAACATCACGTCATGAGCTGGGGTAATAGCCACCTCAGCTCAGCCTCCTCCCATGGGAATGGCTCGGCTAAACAGCACTTACATCCCCCAAACTTGTCACCCTGGACCCTTCAGAAAGAGCAGAAGCCCCAGGGAAGGGACTCATATTGTGTGTCTTTAGAGAGCCACACCGGGAGTAGAAACTCGTATAGCAACTGGGAGAGAAGGTCTCTGCTAACCATATGGCTCATCCTCATGTGGGCTTTCTGGAGTATTCTGTTGGGAATGCAGAGGAAGGGAAGGCCTTGATGGACTCTTCCACCCCTAAGATTCTGGGGATCTGGGCCCAAACCTGGGTCTTATTTTAAAGTAGAGATCATACCCAGAAGTCCACAGGCCACAGTGCTGGGTACCTGGAGGATAGTCAGTATACTGGTCATGGAGGAGGATGACCAATATATATATGTAAGTCCTTGTTCCTATATGTGTGAAAGTGACAGTGATGGTCACTCAGTTGTGTCTGACTCTTTGCGACCCCATTGACTGTAGCCCACCAGGCTCCTCTGTCCATGGAATTCTCCAGGCCAGAATACTGTAGTGGGCAGCCGTTCCCTTCTCCAGAGGATCTTCCCAACCCAGGGACCGAACCCAGATCTCCTGCACTGCAGGCGGATTCTTTACCAGCTGAGCTATCAGGGAAGCCCGTTTATATATATAATAATTGGTGTTTTTCCTATTATGTGAAGGTGATGTTAGGAATGGCAGCCTCCTGGCTCTATGCTGCTTGGAGATGCCCCCAGCCCTTTGCAGTGAGTTCCACTTTGGAGTTCAGAGCAGCTGTGTGGGGGTGGCAGAGAGGAAGAACCCTCACAGAGGATCAGGGCATTGAGTTGGCCCTACAAATGAGGGGGCACACCTGGTACTGAGTATGGCTGTTCTGAGGGGCTGGCTAAGGACAGGGGTTTAACAAGATGATGAGTTAGGACATGAATCATTCCCAGGGCTATCTGTAAAACAGAGGTGGCCTGGTCAGCAGCCCACAGGATGGCAACTAGGTGTTCCTGTATAAAAATGTTTCAGGCTTAAGAAAGTTGGAAGGAAACAAAGTTGAATAGCTTTGCTCACTGCAGAACTTGGAAGCTTCCTATGCCATGGTGTCTAATGAATTTCCAAAAGGGGATATGGATTCTCTGTTTCTGAGCTCATCCATGACCATCTCCTGGCAGGAGATCTCCTGGGGAGGAGAACATCTCGTGTTCTTTAGAGCAGCCTGGGAAATACCTGGCTGGATGATTCTAGCTTTCTAGAGTCCAGAGAGGTAGGAGAGGGAGTTGTGGCCACTCCCACCCCCAGGTCAGACCCTGTGCCTTAGCCTCCTCCAGACCGGATGAGGATGAGGCTGAATCTGGCAGAGACTCTTTAGGAAGCAAGACATTTTGCCCTGAAGGTTTCTGCTCTGGTCTCTTAGCTGTTCATTCAAAAGCAGACATTCTCAGAGTCTGAATGGACTTTGATCATTTGGTGATGGTAAAGAATCCTCCTGCAATGCAGGAGACCCAGGTTTGATCCCTGGGTCAGGAAGATCCACTGGAGAAGGGAATGGCAACCCACTCCCTGTATTCTTGCCTGGAAAATCCCATGGACAGAGGAGCCTGGCGGGCTACAGTCCATGGGGTCTCAAAGAGTTGGACATGACACTTGTTTTATGGATGAGGAAACTGAATCCAGAGATGTAAAAAGACCCATCCTGACTCTAACAGTGGAGTTAGGACCAGAACCAGGACAAGAACTCGGCTCCCTGCATTGTAAGCCAGGGCTCTGACAAGGATTGACTTTCGACAAGGGCAAAGGAATTGGTATCAACGAGAGAAAGGTCTTTACTTCCTCAGTCCGCCCAGGTGGTGTTGTTGGCTTGTTCTGGTGGGGGCCTCAGGGACTTTGCCTCCAGGCAGGTATAAAAGCAAATGGTACCTTAAGTCAGACTTCAGATCTGGGTTCAAACCTTTCTCTGCTGTTTGCCTGCTCCAGGACCTTGGATCAACTTCTCTCGAATTTCAGTTTTCTCATCTGTAGGGTGGGGATAAGGATTGCACTTCACAGGGCCCTAGTGAGGAGCAGACGTCCTTGGTACCCAGTGGTCAGACAGTACTTGCTACTCTAAGTGGTTCTCTTCCTTCCCTGCCCACTGCAGGAGTGGGGCATATCTCCCTTCTCCACTAGGGGTTGTTAATTATCTGTCTGCCTCTCCCCGCCTCATCTGGGAGTTGAAACTGAACTGAACTGAAAAGGTAGGAGAAGCTGAAACACAAAGAAGGAGGTGGATGGGGCTGTGTTTCTGAAGCTGCATCCGGCCCGGTTAGTGCTGCTTGCTTTCCTTATCTGGACGTCCTAGCTGTTCTGGGTTGACTGGGGTCTCGGAAATCACCCCCACTCATGATGCTGAAGGGTGATGGGAGTACTGAGTGCCTGGGTCTTTCCACGGCTTCCCCTTCCTGGGAGACTAGAGCCACCTTCTCATTTTCGGATTGGTTGGAGACCAGGGCTGGGAGGGAGGTCTTGAGTTGGCAGCCTTATCTGTTTCTGAGCCAGGAGGGCCGGGAGAACTGGGGGAGGTGGCTGGTTGTGGCTCCGCCTCCGGGGTGTGTGCGCTGGCGTCTGTCTCTCTGAGTTCCCGGACAGTGGGCAGGGCTGGGAATGATCGCTCCAAACCCATGACCAAGAGGGCCTGTCACTGCCTGGGCAGGAACTTCCTCGGCTCTGGGATTTCCTGGTCTGTCAAATGACCAGAGGATTTCTAAAGTTTGTTCCAGCTCTGACGTTTTCAGTTTTCAGATCCTCTTGGCTTCATCCTGTTGACCCCAGAGGCCAGGCGGACAGAAGGATAAGTTGATTCTGGGCCCTTGGTCTGTGTGCGTCAGACCTGGTGGTGAGCCCAGCCACTCCTGGGTGGATCCTTTTTACTCCTCTGCCCTCCTGTTTTCTTGGAGGGGAGTGGAGAGCTTGGGGGGTGTTGGGGTAGGGAAAGGGAGAGGAGGCTGTCACGAGAGACCTGGTCACAGCGGGCCAGGGGCTTTGCTGCTGGGTGGGGTTTCCTGAGATACTCACCCTGAGCTATTCTTTCCACTCTGGCCCTGGGCACCCGTTCCTGGCAGAGAGCAGCACGGGTTGCCTGGACCAGTCAGCTGCTCCTTTCCACCCCTCCCTCCAGCACACACCCTTCTGCTGTAAACCTAGTAGATCCAGCCTCCTCTCAGCAGATTCCAGAGCCTTAACCCTTCAGATGCCCTCCTCCCAGGGAGCCTGAACCTGGGCCCCAGCTGGCGGGGAGCACACTGGCCACACTGAGACAGCACCAGGGAAGGAGCTGGCTTCCCCGAGGCTGCCTCTGAAAACCTGATAGCCAACAAGTCCTGTGTTAGGGCCCTCCCACTTCTGATGGCTGGGTCTGGGGATCGTGTAGGAGAAAGAGGTTCTGGCTCCTTCCCGATGGGTCATGAGAATGGGGATCACAAGAATGGGGAGCAGGCTTAGCTCTAACTTGACAAGGGTGCTGTGGAGCCTGAATGCCTTGATAAAAGGCATCACGAGGAAGCATGTTGTAATGATTCAAGCTCCTTGCCACAAAACAATCTTGCTTCCTGTTGTGGGAGTGTGTTCAGTAGAAACCGAATGCCTACTGTGTTTTAGGAAAATTCAGGCTTCTGATGGGGCGCCTGGAAGGTCCATTTTAGCCCCTCCAGGGGCTACCAGTGGAATTCCAATGACCTGATTCCTGGTTTCTAGTCTGTGGGCAATAAGTATCTGCACTCTATCTCTGTATATTTTCCCACTTCTTCCTCCCCTTCCCTTTGGACTCCACTTTCTCCTGCTGCTCCCGCCTTTAGTCATAGTCATGATAGTAAACTCTGACAGCTTCCCCCTTTCCCTACTCCTGGTCACCTGCCAGCCCCAAACCTCATCCCTAGCTGAGGCCTTGATGATGGGGAAGTGGTCAGGGCCTCATGTAGGTCAGGCCGTGGCCAGGGAGCAGGCTCAGAAGCTGCCCATGCTGGCAGCCCTGGGGCCCGAGGTTCCTGCCCATCTGGTCCTGCTCACAGGGGGTGTGACTGTGCCTAGCCACTCCCCTGACTGGCCTGAACACTCTCCCTGTCTCCTGCGCACAGGCCTCTACACCAGAGAGCTGGGATGTAGTCCTGGGTCCTGGCCCCTGCTTTGTGGCCAGGGACAGGTCCCTCCATACTCCCCCCTCCCCCGCCCCGAACCGCGGTGGACTGGCTGCTAAAGGGAGGGGTCAGCCTGCCCTAGATCAGCAAGTTTCCTTTCAGTGCTGACGTTTTAAGAATCTCTGTCTCTGACCACCCTCTCCTGGTGGCTTCGTGGAGTTTGGGAACCATGGGGCTGATGGAAGGGGCTGAGTGGTTCATTGTGCACTTGCTGTGAGCCCCCTTTTGTCAGTAGAGGGGCCGAGATGGGAAGCTGAGAAGTGACGAGTGGATCGAAAGGGGGATGAGGATGAAAGCAGAGAGGTTAAGAGCTCTGGAGTCTTTGGGAGCTGAGTCTGGCCTTTATCACACCCTAGCTAAGTCACCTTGGACAAGTGACTTAATTCTTCTCAGCTTCTATTTCTTTATTTGTAAATAGGGATAATAATGTGTCCACCCTATTGGGGTATCATACGGATTTAATGAAATAACAACTACAGGTAGTGTTCAGGTACCATTTTAAGTACTGTACACACATTTTCTCGTTTAATTGTTGTAACAGCTCTGTGGAGGTACTGTTACAGTGTTAAATCCATTTTCCAGGTGGAAAAACTGAGACACAGTGAGGTGAACTGGCTAGTGTTGGTCTCTGGTGAGCATGGGCTGGTGGCTGAGCCCCCAGAGAACTGAACTGAGCTGCTGCGCTCCCTGCAGAAGGTCTGGTTCCTCTGAAACCAGAATCATCACAGGGAGGGGCGAGGAAGGGCAGAGGGCATCTCCACGGGTCAGCGGCCCACTGGGCCAGGCCTGAACCTGGAGTCCTGGGGGCCTATCCAAGGCGGGCCTCGCGCTCCCTGATTTACCCGCTGGTTTGGGGAGGGACCTGTTTGTCTGGCTTGGCTTGAGGGGGTGGGGCAGCTGGCTGGTTGGGCAAAGGGCAGGCCCCACATAACTGGGCTCCTCAGGTAAGTCCCAGGCCCAGAGTCCGTCAGAGCTGGACATGAGCTCAGGGATCATCTGGGCCCCTCACCCCACTTCACCGAGGGGCACCCTGACTTGCTGACAGGACCAGGTCATGGTGACATCAAGATCAGGCGGCCAGCTGGGGCCTCCGACCAGAGGGTCCTCCCTGCCAGTTTCTCGTGGGCTGTGTTGAGCCTGTTGTTATCGGGGCCGGGGCAGTAATGACAGATAACCCTACTCTGCGGGTGGCCTGCCCTTCCCGCTTCCTGCAGATGGGGCGCTGTCTTCCTGGTGGAGTTAAAGGGGTGTTTGGGGAGAGGGGGCGATAGGGGGAGGAGACTCTTGCTTAGGGGAGGAGGGTGCAGTTTCTCTTCCTTCCTCTTTTAGGAAAGTCTGTTAAGCAGATATGCATATTGTTACTGTTTATGCTACCCTGACATAAACCACAAATGTTTTCAAAAACAGTTACTCGCTCTGTTTCTTGAACTCACACCACTCAGTGCTGGGTCTCCCTGTTTCCCTCCGCTCCAATTGCTCAGAGTGCCCTACCCCAACCTGTGGGGCCTTCACTATGGCCCATGGTTTGCTGTCACACCCTCACTGTCCTTCTTATTTCTGACCTGACACACTCTTGCTGTCTGGTCCGTTTGTTCTGGGAAGATGGAGAACGGCTTTCCTCAAAAGAACTCATTTAGAGACTTGGCCTGTTATGTGAGCCCTCCTCCCCACCCCTCCCTGCCACCTTCCCCTCTGTGTTATCCCAGTCGAGACAGAAGAGTTAGTTAGGACAGTCTTTTATCTGCTCCCTGAACTGGGCAGGGGGCCCTAAAAAGAGGGGTCTGTTCTGCCCTTCTGGCAGAGCCTCTGGGGATGTCTGCTGACCTTGACCTGGGCATGTATCCTCTCTGTGGGGACCTAAAGGAAGGTGTGCCCTTGAGAGATGGTCTAGGGGGCGGCTGTGGCCCTCTGAAGGGGCCCAGACTCTGTCAGGGCTTGGACCCTTCCAGGGACCTCGGATCCTTCCAGGGACCTCCTCCTCAACTTTTCCCAAGCCCCCATCTCTGTCACCTCAGAGGGGGACACCAGGTCCAGAGGACATTTATCTGGCTTAAGAGGCATAAAGAACACAGCATAATATAGAGGACACCTAGACTTCCCTGGTGGCTCAGATGGTAAAGAATCTGCCTGCAAAAAAAAAGAATCTGCCTGCAATGTGAGAGACCCTGGTTCGATTCCCGGATCGGGAAGATCCCCTGGAGAAGGAAATGGCTACCCACTCCAGTATACTTGCCTGGAGAATCCCATGGACAGAGGAGCCTGGCGGGTTACAGTCCATGGGGTCGCAAATAGTCGGACATGACTAAGCAGCTAACACTTTCACTTTCACCCAGGACCCGGAAGAACTCGGCTCTTGTACTATTAAATGTGCTAGTTTTGTGATCTTGGGAGTCACTTTACTGCTCTGGGCCTGAGTCCCCCAGTGGAACTGAGCACTTGGGGCCGTACAGCCTGGGGGTTTCTTTGGAATGTTTCTGGGGTTCCTTTCCCCTCCTTCCTCTGCCCTTCCCCAGCCGTGGGGCTCTCCTGCCTCAGAGAGGGCACTGGCTGGCTCTGGCATCACTCCTCAGCATTTTAACCTTTCTCAGCTGCCAACCCTGGGAGCAAACAGGCAGGAATCCCAGGGCCGCCAGGGCCTGGCGTCTTCCCCTCCCCGGGGGTTTGAGGGCCCTTAACTCCCTGGCATTCTGCTCCCTGGCACAGCCCTGAAGCGACTGGTGGCAGCCACAGGCTGTCACATGCCTGAAGCTCCTCCTCGGCTGTAATTTGAAGGAACCAGAAAGTCCTGTCTCCAACATGCTTTTCTGTGCAGCCTCCCAGCCCCCAGGGGTCAGCCCATGTACCCACACGCTCAGGCCTCTCTGGCGGCCCCTGACTCAGCCTGACACCTTCCACAGCCCTGTGCCCTCCTCCTCTGGGCCTGGCAGCTCCAGCCCTGGGACCGGCTTGTTGTCTTCCACTTGGGGCCTTGGCTCCTCCCCAGCTCCGCCTTTCAGGCCTGGAGCTCCTGCCAGCTGCTGTGGGGGCTGGGCTGCCCCCTTCAGTGGGTCCTGGCTGGCTCTGTGACTCGCCAGTGGCTTTGCTGGGGTCATCTGGCTCCCTTCCTGGTCACTGGAAGTGATCAGTTAAGAGAACCCCCTGCTCTCATACCACCCATGTGACTGGTCTCCCCCCACCCCCCCAGCTCCTGAGCTAAATCCCCACCTGCTCCTTTCCAAGGGCAGGAAACTGCACAGTGAGGAGGGGCTGGTGTGAGGGCAGAGGGGCAGGGGCTGAGCTGGTGGGGTGGGAACAGTGGCCTGCAGGGAGAGACTGAAGGTGTCCTCTCTGCAGAGGCAGGGTGGACTGGGGCTCAGTGAGCTGGGCCTATGCACTCATGACTACTTTTCTCATCTCTGCCTCAGGTCTCAGCAGCTGGGGTCTCCCCTCAGCCTTTGAACTATCATGTCCCATCCCAGTGCCCCTCCTCCATATGAGGACCGCAGCCCCCTGTACCCTGGTTCTCTGCCCCCAGGGGGCTACGGGCAGCCATCTGTTGTGCCCGGGGGGTACCCTGCCTACCCACAGCCTGGCTACGGTCACCCTGCTGGCTACCCACAGCCTATGCCCCCAGTCCACCCGACGGCCATGAACTATGGTAAGTCCCTGCAGGGCAGCTGAGGGTGGGTGGGAAGAGGCAATACTGATGAGGCCACTTCCTTTCTTTCCTTCTTAACTTCCTTCATCTCCTTTTTCATCTTCTCTCTGGCTCTCTCCTTCTGTTTCCCCATCTCTGTTACCTCTCTGCTTTTTCCTTCAGCTCCTAGCCACCCCCCACCCCCCACCCCCCACCTCCAGGCCACCTGCCAGCCCCTTTATTCAGCGAGAAGACTGAGTCTGTAAGACACACCAGAACTTACACATCAGATGGGAAAGTGGCTGGTGAAGGAATTACTTCAGGAGGCCACTTCTGTTTTCCTGCTAGGCAGTTGCCACCCACCCACGGCCCTTTCTTCTTCAGGAACTGCCGCTAAGAAGGAAATGGCAACCCACTCCAGTATTCTTGCCTGGAGAATGCCATGGACAGAGGAGCCTGTCAGGCTACAGTCCATTGGGTCGCAAAGAGTCGGACATGACTGAGCAACTAACACTTTTCACTTTTCACTGGAACCTGAAGCAGTTTTTTTTTTGTTTTGTTTTTAAATATTCTCAGTGCTGATGGATCCTCATTTTTTAAGGTAACATCTGATTTGCAAACATCCAGAACCTGTTTGGATGTTTGATAAACGTCGTGGCTGGTAAATCTGGTCAGAAATGATACTAGAATGTGGTGAGATCTTCCTTATGTGGCTCGCCTCGGATTTTGAAAGCGGTTCCCAGGGAGGCATTTGAGGAATGGCTTTGAGCCCCTGCAGCACCTCTGGAACCCGGGAGCACAGCCAGCTCTCATCAGGCCGTTCGTGTTCTGGTGTGAATACCAGCACATCAGTCACGTTTACAGCGATGCTTTGTCCTGTGCACAGATAGCCCTGACGTTTCTGTTTTCCCAGAATCCTAGTGCTTGCCTGATGGAGACCACTGTCTGCACACTCTGTCCTCCATGCTCTGCACATATGCACTGTTTCCATCTCCCTTTCCTTCCTTCGATCCCCGAGTCCCTGCTCTGACCCTGCCAGCTCCTCTGACCCACACCTGCCTGGCTTCTTTAAGATGGTTTTCCCTTGACAGCAGGAGCGGTGGGTGTTCACACTCCTCAGTGGAATCATGCTGATGGAGTGTTCACACCTCAGCCCCCTCCCAGCCAGGGACACACCACTCCCTATGGTATCCACTCAGGTTGCTCGGGGGGCACCTGGAGGAACTGGCTGGGGAGAGGAGTTCCTGAGTTTTGGCTGGAGATCCCTGAGACTGTTGAGATAGTGTTCCAGAGGCTTGGGGATTGAGGCCACAGGCCCTGGATCCTCTGTTGGTCATATGTGATCTGTCCCCAGGCCCTGGCTATGATGGCGGGGAGAGAGCAGTGAGTGACAATTTTGGATCTGGAGACTGGGATGACAGGAAAGTCCGACACACCTTCATCCGAAAGGTGAGATATGGGCTGGTGGGCAGGTGAATCTGGCCACTGGGGCCGTGACTTGGCCCATTAAGAAGAGGGGCAAATGTGGAGTCCTGCCCCAAGCCACAGGTGGGGCCCAGAACCAAGGTCACCTCCAAAACTAATTGAGCCCCATTGCCAAAAGCCCCCCTGATCATTACTAACAAGCTTCCTGACTCCCAATTAGGCAAAGATGCTCACTGCAGTAAACACCCTATAGTGCCTCAACTAGTCACCTAACGCCAACCTTCTAGGAATTTTTTTTGTCTTGAGGCTATAAAAATTGGCTATTAATCCATGAAAACTGTCGACTCTCCCTGGCTTGTCAGGAGTTGTCGGCCCACTGAGCTTGCAGTGCCCACTTTATCTGTGCTCTTCGTTCTTAATAAACTCACTCCTTTCTGCAATACTCTGTGTCTGGAAATTCTTTTCCATCCTGCACTGGGACTGCCTCAACAGGAATGGCGGTCCTCTGGTCCCCTCTAGCCCTGCACTCTCCTGAGGGAACACCAGCTCCTCTAAGCTATGTTCGCCCACTTTTGCTTCTCTGTTCCTTGCCCTTGCTTTGGGGGGCAGGTTCAATTTGAACAGCCCTGCTGAAGTGTTCTGCCCTCTGCAAACTTCTTTCTCCTGTGAGACTGCAGCAATTTGAAGCCAGAATTGATTGCATGCACTCGCAGGCCCCTGCCCGCCATCTCACCTCACCCTAGCACCTGCTCAGGGTAGAGAGATACCTGACCAACGTTCAGGCTGAGCCGCTGCAGGCACAGAGGCCATACTCAGGAGTGTGGCGAGGCAGGGCAGTGAATGTCAGTGAAGGCCATGTGTTGGGCTAGAAGGGGAGATGTCAGGAGCAGCGGGGGTGGGGTCAGCCCTGCAGGTGCGCACAGCATCTGAGCCAGACTCAGAATCTGAGCCAGACTCCTCACTGCGCTGGCCTCTCTGGCAGGCTGCAGTGCAGCTGGGGCGGGCTCTCAGATGGAAAGGAAGTAAGAGTAGATCCTTCAAAATGAAGAAGGAACCCCCTCCCTACCTCTGGAAGATGGGAGCAGACCTAGGGTGGGAAGGTCTTTTGGGCTCCCTGGTCTCGGGGCTGGCTGCTTCCTGGGGGAAGGCCGGGAGCAGAGGGTGGTGACCGTGCTGTCCCCGGTGTTCGTGTTCCAGGTTTACACCATCATCTCCATCCAGCTGCTCATCACGGTGGCCATCATCGCTGTTTTCACCTTCGTGTGAGTCTCTGGGCCTTTCTGCACAGCTGAAGGTGGCTCTGGGGTCCTGGGCTCTGGGTCCCCTGCTAGGAGCAAGGCTGGGGTGAGCCCTCGACCCATGGACAGGAAGAGGGGCTTGGTTGTGGGTGACTAGAGAAGATGGGGGGGCGGGTAGGGCCTCGGCAGGGGGCGGACAGCCTTGGCATGACTCTTTCCTGTGTCTTCTCTGCTCCGCAGGAAGCCGGTCGGTGACTTCGTGAGGGCAAACATGGGCATCTACTACGCATCCTAGTGAGTGTGTGCCTCCTCTGCTTGGGGGCCAGGAGAGGAGGGGTGACAGCTGACTAGCAGGGATCAGAATCTTTTCAGAGGGAGGGGTGTCCCAGTTGCCAGCTGTGCTGGGCCGTGTAGTGTGTGCCACTGAGTGTCAGTGTCGGGGTCTCCTGAGAGCAGGGCTGGGGGAGCCACGGCCACGTGCATCCTGTAAGACAGGCCCCTGCTCTGGCCGCCTCTCCCTGCGGCCTCCTCCCAGGCCAGGCCCCCGCTCCGGCCGCCTCTCCCTGTGGCCTCCCCCCAGGCCAGGCCCCAGCTCCGCTGCCTCTCTCTGTGGCTCCTGCGGCCTCCTCCCAGGCCAGGCCCCCGCTCCGGCTGCCTCTCCCTGTGGCCTCCCCCCAGGCCAGGCCCCAGCTCCGCTGCCTCTCTCTGTGGCTCCTGCGGCCTCCTCCCAGGCCAGGCCCCCACTCCGGCTGCCTCTCCCTGCTCCGCCGCCTCTCTCTGTGGCTACTGCGGCCTCCTCCCAGGCCAGGCCCCCGCTCCGGCTGCCTCTCCCTGCGGCCTCCCCCCAGGCCAGGCCCCCGCTCTGGCCGCCTCTCTCTCTAGCAGCTCCTCCCCCGCCTCCCAGGCCAGGCCTCTGGTTACTGATGGCCTCAGTGTCCCTGGCCAGGGTGACTCTGTCCTGCTGGGCAGCTTCCCCGCAGACTTCTAGACGCCTTTCTGGGCCTCCAGCCTGCCAGGCTGGTGAGTGCCACCAGGCTGGGCCGGGAGGGTGCTGAGGGGCATAGTGGGCCTGAGACTACTTCCCTCTTTCTCCCCAGTGCTGTCTTCCTGGTCACATACCTGACCCTTATCTGCTGCCAGGCACCCAGGTGAGTCCCAGAGACTTAGACCATGGGAAGGGATGGTGGGGGGCAAGGAGGTGCACGCGTGCTATGTCGCTTCAGTTGTGTCCGACTCTTTGCAACCCCATGGACTATAGCTCGTCAGGCTCCTCTGTCCATGGGATTCTCCAGGCAAGAATACTGGAGTGGGTTGCCATGCCCTCCTCCAGGGGATCTTCCCCACCCAGGGATCGAACCCGAGTCTCTTATGTCTACCTGCCTTGGCAGGTGGGTTCTTCACCACTGGCCCACCTGGGAAGCCCCCTCATAGCATCTGAGTGGAGACTTACCAGCAGTGATGATGATGACAGTGAAAGTGAAGAGGATGGTGGTGGCACCTACTGGCTACTGCTCAGCTGGGCCCAAGTGCCTTGTGTGTGTGGGATCTATTTAGCTATCTAGCTGTTATTCTTATAGCTACCCTGCAAGATATGGGGCATTTTAACCCTTTAACAAATAGGAAGAACCCAAGGCTCAGAGAGGCCAAAGGACTTTCTCACAGTCACGCAAGTAGTCAAAGAGCTGCAAACGAATCCAGTTCTCTGTGGCTCCACAGCCCAGGTGTGTCCTGTTGCCCCTGCTGTCTCTGCATAGAACACGAGCAGGTCCCGAGGGCCAGGCCAGCCTCCCCTCTCTCAGGTCCAGGCCTCGTTCTCGAGGTGCACAAGCCAGGAACTTCTTCTGAGACCTGGCCGGCCACACGCTACTAAGTCATGGTTTCTTTCCCTTCAGACGCCGTTTCCCATGGAACATCATCCTGCTGACCCTCCTTGTGAGTCAAAGGGCCGGGGGAGGGGGGAGGAGATGGTGAGGGAGGGCTGGGCCCAGGGAAGGAATGGGACCCTGTTGGGGAAGATGGCCTTGGCTCTCTCCCTGACCTGACTGCCCTCAGTTTCCTTGTGGCTGCCACTTTCCAACTAGGTGACATGTACCACCAGCTCTGGTAGTGTCCCCACCATGCCTCCAGGGCTCTGCGTGCCCCTCTCTTTCTAAAATTGATTTTAATTTTGTTGTTTGTTTATGTATTTGGCTGCACCAAGTCTCAATTGCGGCATGTGGGATCTAGTTCCCTGACCAGGGATCAAACCTGGGCCCCTGAGTTGGAAGTAGAGTCCCAGCTGCTAGACCACCAGGGAAGTCCCTCTTTTTAAAAAAAATACATATTTTTGGCCACACCATGGGGCATGTGGGATCTTAGTTCCCTGACTAGGGAACGAACCGGCACCCTCTGCCTTGGAAGTTTGGAGTCTTAACCACTGAACCACCAGGGACGTCCCACAGGCTCTATTAAGTGTCTCCCTCTGGTCTCTGTTCCTCCCGCAGACTCTTGCCATGGGCTACATGACCGGCACCATCTCCAGGTGCGTTCAGCGGCAGTCGGCACACGGGGGTGTGTTTTATAGGGGAGTGGGGCACCCCGGGCTGGCAGCCCCTGTATGGCTGCATGCTGGGCATGGTACTTCCCGAAAGCTCTAGTTTTGAAGTCATTTGTGCGTGGCTTATGCCTCTGGCCTCTCTTAATTCCTTCCCCGCAGTGTGTATAACACCAGAGCCGTCATCATCGCAGTGATCATTACTGCTGTGGTGTCCATTTCAGTCACCATCTTCTGCTTCCAGACCAAGGTGAGAGCACTGGAGGGCCGGCCCTTCCCTGGCCACCCCATCCCCCTCTCTTATACAGACCTGACCTTCTGGGCCTGGCACTTAGCAGGCCTGAGAGGGCCCAGATCCTTATACAGGGGTCTCCCTTAGAGACCCAAAGCCCCTTCCCTTCACATCCACATCCACAACTCTGCTTCCTGTGTCTGTCCTTAGAATGCCATGGTCAGTCCTGAGTGCCCCAGGAGGCAGCATTGAGCCCCCTGGAGGAGGCAGGGCCTGGCTGGCCGGGCTGCTGGCTGTGGCCCGTCTGACACGTGCCTCCCTCTCTCTTCCTGGCAGGTGGACTTTACCTCGTGCACAGGCCTCTTCTGTGTCCTGGGAATAGTGATGATGGTGACTGGGATTATCACTGCCATCGTGCTGGCCTTCAAATACGTGAGTGTCCCGGCAGAGTTGGTCGGTGAACCCAGTGCTCAGGGCAGAATTTCTGTATATCTTGCTGCAGCAGGCCCCATGGGCCTCTGGACGGCTCTGGGTTCCAGAACCTCTCAACTGGCTAGCCAAGGCACCTGTGCTGAAGCGCCATCCTTTGGACTGGGGTATCATTGGAGACCCAGGTCTGGGAGCCATAGCACCTGAGGCCCCAGACAGCATCATGGGATTCCTATGAGAAGCAGCAGTGTGATCTGTCTGACAGCTGAGGCCAGGCTCTTGGAGGCCGGTTGGCAGAGGAATCCAGAGGGCAGAGATGGGCTCAGCTGGAACGGACCTTAGGGACCACTGTATCTCCTCTTTGTCTCCAATTAGCAGGGGGCAGCATGTGAGGCCCTAGGCTGAAGGAAGCTTTGTGGTGGGAAGGGGAAGCACATAACAGGAGCGTGAACATGACAGGAGCCTACCCATGTGACCATGCTGGCCGTGCCCTTGTGGACAGGTCCCTGGAGGGCTGTTGAACAAGGCTGCCCTGGGGGTGCTCCCTGACTCCGCTATTCATCTGGTGGTTAGGGGGTGTCCCTCTTAGGCAGGGCTGCAGGAACACGGTCTAGTGACTGCTGACATAACTAAGGGTAAAGTTGATGGGGCTCTTCAAGGAGTGCATGGCTGGGCCTGCCCCTCCCAGAGCCATAATTCAACCACTCTTCCAGAAGCAGAGTGGACACCTCTGTACCTTGACTAACTGGAAATTGGTTTGGGTAAAAGATGCTGTGATTGATTTCATATAGCGACTGGATGATGGCCTCTGTTTTCTCTGCCAAACATGTTAGCATTCTTAATTTCTCCCAGGATCTGGAAGGGAGAGGTAGTTTTCTCATGGATCTTCCCACTTGGCCAGAATCCCAGTGGGGAAGATGGTCCTGAGGGTCTGCCTCACTCTGGGCTTTGCCAAGTTTTCTAATGCCATCCCTGTCCTCTCTCCCCAGGTTTACTGGCTGCACATGGTCTATGCTGCTCTGGGGGCCATTTGCTTCACTTTGGTAAGACCCTGCCCACTCTAGGAAGGGGAGTGGGAGGTATGGGACTGGGTGGGTGCTGAATGTAGGCTGCTTGAGAGGCAGGGAGTGGGGCCACAGCTGCCTTTCCCTACTGTCTGGAGGCTCCACTGATTTCTTGAGCATTCCTGTCTTTAATTCACATTGCTTGCTATGAGAATACTCAGCAAGCTATATTCCAGAGATGACACTATTCCAGTGTCCCTCTCCCTTTCTGGACTGTGAACTGCTTAAAGACAAAGACCATGCCTTCTGCTGTTGTTAAAGTGTTCCCTAAGCACACCTCATGGCCCTGAGGCTCCCAGGACAGGTCTGTGGACTACTGAGCCCCTGAATCCTCATGTGTGGCTTCTTGTCCCTGCAGTTCCTGGCCTATGACACACAGCTGGTCCTAGGGAACCGGAAGCACACCATCAGCCCAGAGGAGTACATCACCGGCGCCCTGCAGATCTACACAGATATCGTCTACATCTTCACCTTTGTGTTGCAGCTCGTGGGGAGTCGCGATTAAGGAGCACTTCCGGGGCTTTCCCTTCCCTAGGGGGCTGGGCCCTGTGACCCCGGTCTGGGCCTACACCCATTTCCTTCTCAAGTAATACGCCCATTTTTCTTTCTGTCCAGGGATGGGCAGCCTCTCTCGCATTGGATGTATAGGTATCTGATGGGGCTGGAGGAACTAGGGACTAACTCTTGCCCTTAGTGGACAGAGCTGGGCCAAAGATGTGTGTTTTCCCTCCACCCCACTACAGGGCACCAAAGCCTTAAGAGCTGGGGTTGGAGTGGGGTGAAAAGAGCCTGTTCTGTAGCTCAAAGGGAACATGAGAAGGAGAAGGGACTTCCTGGTGTTTCCCCTCCCACTCCTGCCATGGGCTTCTGGGCATGACAGCTGGAAAATTTTTCCTCTCTCAATCCCAACAAAGCCAGAGAGCTGTCCCCTGCCTCCTGGACTCATATCTTGTACTTTTTTGGCAAGCCTTGGCACCTTTCAACACAGGAAGGTAGAGGGGGTTTGTCTCCCCTGCTTCAACCCCTTCTTTTGATAGCATTTATATAATGATCTTCGGGGTTAGGGGTGGGGAGGAAGAGGAGAGTGAGCAAAGTCAAGCACCGAGGCCAGCTGAGAGCAGCATCTGTCCAGGGCTTCCTCAGGGCTTGTGTGGTAGAGAGCAGGCCCCCTGGCAGTCATCTGGTTCTCCGAAGCTGCCTGGGGCTTCTCTGGTACTTCTGAGATCTCTATAGTCAGTGGGACCACTTGCTTCTTGTGCTCAGGCTTCTCAGAGCAAAAAGTGAGGGCAGAAGTCAGGAGATTGTGTGGTGTGTAGGATCACTGTGGCCAGGAAGTAACCAGGGTGAAGACAGCCTAGAATGTGGGCAGGGTCCCCCATCCTGTCTTGAGAGATATGGAAGCCTACGTGGTACCCAAGGGGCTTCCCTTCTGCTAAGGGGAGGGCCCTGAGAGGAAGGAGAAGCCCCTCTCAGTCTGTGAACTCACGCCAGGGGATTTAAGATGCCCCATCTCTCCAGCCAACTACCGCTTTCTTCATGACACCAAGTGCCTCAAGCTGGAATGGGGAAAGGGGACAAGGGTCACTCTATGGGGTGGGGGTGGAAACCAAATCAGCCCAAGGATATATTTAGGACTTCTTTATTAAGTATGTGGTCCTAAATATATCCCACAAAGGAACGTAACTAGAAATAAAGTTTTATGTTTAGAAGGTAAACCCCTGTTTGGCTCTGGTTTTCTTCACTTTAAGGGGTCAATTCTTAGAGAACATCTGGCTCTGCCCAAAGCATCCATATCCTACCCTTGCATTCTGGCTTGGTATCTTCTACAAGAACCAAATATGCTTTGTCCCAGTGCTTCCTAGTGATGGATGGCTCAACCCCAGGTCTGGCAGGCACTGCTCAGATCCATAGCACATGACCTTTCTATATCATGGACCCTTTACAAAAGCACAGGAGAGCTATAAATGCTCTTCCTCTCAAAGCTGTATGTGTACACACAATTTTGCATATGGGGGTGGGGGTGGGAATGGACCACAATGTTCAGGTTTAGAACTCCTACCTTAGAAGTCACTAGTTCAATCCCTCTTACAAACAAGGAAACTGAGGCCCAGAGAGGTTGAGTCATTTGGACTCAGCCAGGAAGATTAAGTGTTTTTTTAAAACTCCACACCCTGAACACCCTTTGATTCTCTTTATTATTTGTTTAGGCTGAGTGGAACCCCACCCTCCTGGCCAGCAGCTCAGGGCTCACTCCCCAGGGCCTGAGCCTAGGCTTGTACTTAAGTCTCTGTGGTTTCACCAACTATTCAGCCTAGAACACTGAGGCTTCTGTGAGAGGGAGTACAGAGGAGTAACCAACCCCACCCAGTACCCCTCCCATCCCAGGGGACTCACAAACCCGGTCCTGGTTCCTTTCCACTCAGACAGTAACTTTATTCGCCTTTGGCTGGTTTTTCAGGAGGAATGGGGTTGGCAGGAGCCTGGGCTTCATGCGCCCTCTGGTGGGCCTCAGAGGCAAGGACCAGAAAGGACTGGAGAGTCTGGAGGCCACAGTCAATAGAGTTTAGGGGAGGGTTTCAGTGCTCCTCATGACTGCACCCCCGACCCAGCTTCAGGAGATGGTGCATGACGGGAGGAGGCCCTGAACCTCTGGCTCTCATACTCGCCCGTGTTGGATGCCCGCATGTTCTGCCGAGCCTTCATCTGCTTCAAACGGTCCTTGTCCACTTCCCGCTTGGTGAGGATGAAGAGGAGGATACCACAGGGGAAGCCGATGGCCCTAGGGGTGGGGAGATGTGCATGGCATTTGGGGAGGGGCCTAGCCTCAGCCAGAGGAGCTGGGCAGAACCTCATTCCAGCTTCAACTGCACCAACACTGCAATACTACTTGCATCTATTCAGCCTCAGTGTTGGCTGCTGGAAGGCCCCGTGTGAATCGGATCCTGCCACTGCCCTGCTCAAAACCCCGCAACAGTTCTCTGTCACTTCCTGGCCAAGTTCAAACTCCTTGGCGGCATAAAAGGCCTGTGGTTGGGTCTCTGCCCACCTTGTCATTCCTTTTCCCTTTAGTTTGACACTCCTCAGCATGAGCCCTGCCAGCCTGCCATAACAACTGTGCAGGGTTCTCCAGACAGCCCATTCTCTACCTCTCCAAGTCTTGGCAAAAGTTCCCTCTGCCTAAACCACCCCACACCCCATCCCTGACTCTCCTTAACCTGAGCAACTGCTATGTGGGAGGCACTTCAGTGTGGGGAAAGGGCGTGGAGTTATAAGACCTGGTGAAAATCCAGCTCTGAGCCTCAGTTCCCCCCTCTGTAAAACAGGGATGTCCTATTTATCTCAGAAAGACTAAAACAATACACAGTAAAGTACTGGCACACCTTGGGTGCTGCAAAAAAAAATATTAATTTCTCCCTGCTTTTAATATTGCTCAAGCCTGGCATGCTCCATCCATGGGGTCGCAAAGAGTCGGACACGACTGAGCGACTGAACAACAGCAATGTATTAAGATCAGAATCAAATCCAAATAACAATTCACTGAACATCTTATAGGTGCTACTACTGTATAACTAACATAATCTTGCATGATCTCAATTAAAACCTCAATTGGGTCCTGCCCCAAGCTCCCAAAAGAGAGGATGAGGCCATAGACCCAAATCTGAATCAGATTAGCTCAGCTCAGTGCACAGAAAACCCACTCTCTCTCTCCAGTTTCAGACGTTGCCACCTCCCTCCCCTGCTCCAGTCCTCTGAGATTCCAGTCCTCACACCCAGCCATTCTGTCCCGGCAACCCTGGATTCAGTTCATCACCTGAAACTTGGAGAAGTTTCTGGGTCCCACCCGCCCCTGGTGCCACTCCCCATTGGTGGGCAAAGAGTTAGTTAAAACTTACCAGGCTAGTCCCACAGCTTTCATGGGGTTCTTGCCCCTCTTTCTGGGGATGTATTCCAGTTCAGGGGAGAGGGGCTCAGGCTCCTCCTTGCACTCTGGGGAGCTGTGGCTTTGCAGTGCCCGGCTCCTGTTCTGCGAAGCCTTGTTAGCAGCGGCTCCTGACAGAATCCCTGTGAATGGAGACAAGGAAGGTCAGTTAAGAGAAGAGGAGAAGAAAGCCTAGGGAGGAGTGACTGAGATCTGAGGAAGGGGAGTGACTGCAATTTGGAGTAACAGGTGCCTGGAAGAGTCCAGAGAGAAATGGGAAAATCGCCATCGAGGTGGCACCTTTGAAAGCCGCTTCCACGTCACTGCGGGCTCATCACCCTGGTGCCGGGAGAGCGAGCTTCGCTATTCTTCATCTCCTCGGACCTCAGGATGTGAGGGGACTGCAGTGGGGCTCGCGTGAGACATATGAAAGAAAATCCGAGAAATGGCTTGCAAACTGCAGAACGTTAGCACTGGAAGGGGAGCTTAAAGGTAGTCTACTCCATCCCCTCATTTTATAGAAGAGGAAACTGAAGCCCCAGGAGACGAACTGCTTCGCCCAAGGTCGAACTGCTAATTATCCGGGGCTAGAACCCAAGCCTCCAAAAGCCCAGGGCTCTTTTCCTCTGCACTGCGGTGAGTGTGAAACACCTGGAGCGCGGGAGTCTAAAAGGCTTCCTCGAGGCTCCCTTTCCGTGAAAGACCCCAGAGGTGTCGTGTAACCGGAAGGCTGAGGGATGGACTGGGTGACTTTTAAAGAGCATCTTTTAGCCCCCAGACTCTTTAAAATCCTGCAGAGGGATGCGGGCAGCAATCGACAGCCCTGAACTCCTGCTACAGCTTAGCGGGATATGAAAAAAAGGGCATCTCCTGCAGTCCTGCCCTCCCCGGGGTCCCTCTCCTTACCCCGGAGGACGCGGGCATTTCTCGCCCCCCGGCCCTTCAGCGCCGTAGCAGCTACCACCGCCGCCATGTTCAGATCCCACCCCCCCCTTCACCGCAGTCCCCGCTGGGAATTGTAGTTTGCGTAAGGGGCCTCCCCCGCTGTATCCGTCCAGCCTACAAATCAGAAACTACATCTCCCAGAAGCCCAAGCAGCGGACCCAGGAGAACTACTCTTCCCAGGAGAGCCCCGGAAGCGCGCACGCTCGCTTGTTTCCCTCCTGTTGGGGGCGGAGTCAGGTCGGGCGGAGTTTGGGTTCTCCTCGCCACGCCTCGGCCTCGTCTCCCTCTTCTGTCCTGTGATTGGTGAATCAGCCGGTCCACCCCCTTCGCTATTGGTCAAGAGCCCGTCGCTCTCCCTGCCGGGGGAGTGGCCTACGCCTACTTCCTCCCGGGAGGAGGGGCCCGAGTTCCGCGTCGTCGCGCAGAGCTGACTCTGGGAGGCGTTTGGGCCCAGAGAAGTGGGTCCGCCGCTTGCGCCGCATGGAGTCCGAATCGGAGAGCGGGGCCGCTGCTGACACCCCCCCGTTGGAGACTCTAAGCTTCCATGGTGATGAAGAGATTATCGAGGTGGTAGAACTGGATCCTGGTCCGCCGGACCCGGGTAAGAGCTGCGGATCCTCAGGCCATGGGACAAGAGGCTCTTACCCCTGGCCTTTGACCCCGGCTTCTCCCCCCTCTGCTCCCCACCCTACCCCACCCACCTGTCATTCCTACCTACCTCCTTCGCCCTTCCCCTCTCCCCTAACCCCACACTTAGTTCTCAGGCCTGGCCCGGGGTGGGGGTTCCCCTGACGCCTCCCCTGGCCCTTCCCCTCACACACCCCCTTCCCATCATTCCCTCGGTCCTCCCTTCCCACACGGTCTCTGGCCAACCCCAGGTCCTCAGAGCTCTCCAGTCCTCCGTTCCGCACGCCCCCTCCTCCCTGTCGCCTCTCACCCCCCACTTCACCTCTCCTGTCTGACCTCACCTTGCCCTCTCGCCACATGACCACCCCAGCCTCGGGCCTCCCCACACTTGCCATCCCTCTTACCGCCTGCCCCACACCGTCTGTTAACCCTCTCCCCAAAGCAGACGATCTGGTCCAGGAGATGGAAGATGTGGACTTTGAGGAAGAGGAAGAAGAAGAGGGCAATGAGGAGGGCTGGGTTCTGGAACCCCAGGAAGGGGTGGTCGGCAGCATGGAGGGCCCCGACGACAGCGAGGTCACTTTTGCATTGCATTCTGGTAGGTCCCTGGGGAGATCTGTCCTAAGTTCAGTCCAGGTGGACATTTGAGCATCATCCACTGTGTAGCAGTGGGAAAATGTTGCTTTTGTGGTGGAGGAGCTGTTGGCTCCTGGAGTCGGTTGAGACACACTTGGGTTCAAATCCTGTCTCTGCTACTTGGTTGTTTATGATCTTTATTGACATCTCTGGGCTTTAGTTTCCTTTTAAAAAGTTGTCATTGATAAAAGTTTCTTTACTCTGAATTAGGGGTAATAGTACCTTTTGGTTCACCTTTTGGATAATCCTTTTAAATATTAACTCTTGATAAGGAACCAGTAACACAGGCTTTCCTCACTCAGCCCCCAACCTGGTGACACCCCACTCTGAGAACTGTAAGCCTTGCACACGTTCTCTCCTCTTGTCCACCACATAAGTGTGGGATGAAGGGAAGAACACAGGAGAGCGATGTGTCCTGGGGAGGGACTTAGAGTTTGGCAAGCTTGGGGAGGGACTTCTCCAACAACTGAGTGTTTGAAACTTAGAAGGTCTTGGACGCACCCTTCTTTTCCAGGAGGAAAGACATGTTGCTTTAGGTGGAAGGGGGTGGGCTCCCCAAAGGTCCTGAAGGACAGGACTCTAGGTGGGAGCCCCACCTCCTTACTCTTGGAATGTCTCTTGGGACAGCATCAGTGTTCTGTGTGAGCCTGGACCCCAAGACCAACACCTTGGCAGTGACAGGAGGCGAAGACGACAAAGCCTTCGTGTGGAGGCTCAGCGATGGGGAACTGCTCTTTGAGTGTGCAGGTGAGGAGGCTCGGTGAAGTCTTGCCTCTTTGCAGGTCTTAGGGGGCTGGCCTGCAGTGGTTGTGCATCCAATAGCCATTTATTGACCCCTGTTTTGCCAGCTCTATGCTTGGCCCAAGAGCCCCAAAGAATATCCTAGTCTGTTGTGGGCGTGGGGGAGGGAGACACTGATTAGCTGAGGGAGTCAGGGAAAGACCTGGAGGAGGCGACACTAGTGACGGAGAATAGGGGTGGGAAGAAGGCTGTGGATGTTTCAGGCAGAGGTGTGGTGTGGACAGAACGGGGAAGACATAGGTCTGGGCTACACGTGGTCAGCTGGGGGCCCAGGAGTGTCTCGCCTGGGGAGAGCTGGGGGTGTTGGCTCCTGCAGCAGCTGTGAGTTTGGTTACCTGTTCTGTGGGGACTCATCCTTTTTTCCCAGCAGGTACTTTCTGGGGGCCGGATGCCTGGGTCCTGTATCCCCAGCACCAGGTGCTCTGACATTTCTCTCCTCTCTCTGCAGGCCATAAGGACTCTGTGACCTGTGCTGGCTTCAGCCACGACTCCACCCTAGTGGCCACAGGGGATATGAGTGGTCTCTTAAAAGTGTGGCAGGTGGACACAAAGGAGGAGGTCTGGTCTTTTGAAGCAGGAGATCTAGAGGTGAGATCGTCACAGTGGGATTCAACTCCGAGGGCCGGGCAGAGTGGGGAGAGCTCAGGGGCCACGCCTCCTTGAGCAGATCAAGCCAGCTCTGAGCCAGTGCTCTCCCGGAGGACAGCAGGAGTGTCTGGGCTCATCCCCTGGGATGTCTCCACTGACTGACTCAGAAGCAGGGAGAGCTTGGTGGGGCTCCGGGGGCAGACTCCTAGGTGAGATGGGGTGAGGAGAACCCCTGTTGAGCCTTTGTCTCTGCCCAGTGGATGGAATGGCACCCTCGGGCACCTGTCCTCCTGGCGGGCACGGCTGATGGCAACACCTGGATGTGGAAGGTTCCGACTGGTGACTGCAAGACCTTCCAAGGCCCCAACTGCCCGGCCACCTGCGGCCGAGTCCTCCCTGATGGTGAGAGCGGCATCCCTGAGTGTGGACAGGTGGGGTCTGGGTTCCACACCTGCCTGGCACCCTCCTGGGCCGTGGTCAGCAAACTCCGAGGTCTGCTGTTGGGAGCACTGATCTCCCAGGACCAGAGCAAACAGCTCTCCCTTTCTCACCCGGAATTGGGTCTCCCCTGGGGCCCTGTCTGTTCCCTCGCTTCCTTGCCTGCCTCCCTCTTCTCTTGCCCGATGCGCTGATGTGTCTGTGCTGGTTGTCTTCTCTTCACCTGCATCTCTGATCCTTTAGGGAAGCGCGCTGTGGTCGGCTATGAAGATGGCACCATCAGGATTTGGGACCTGAAGCAGGGAAACTCTATCCACGTACTAAAAGGTATCAGAGGTGGGGGAGGTGTTAACCTAGGCCTTTGTGGGGAAAGGGCCGAGACCTGGGTCAGGATGAAGCCTGACTTTCCCCGCTGCTTCATCCTAGGGACCGAGGGTCACCAGGGCCCTCTGACCTGTGTCGCTGCCAACCAGGATGGCAGCCTGATCCTCACTGGCTCTGTGGACTGCCAGGCCAAGCTGGTCAGTGCCACCACCGGCAAGGTGAGTGGGGCCTGGAAGCCTGGCTGTGGGGCTCTCTGCGTCTCCTCCGTTTCTTCTCTTTTTCTTCACTCAGCCTCCTCGCCCCAGTGCCTTTCTTCTCTTACTGGAGAACCACGTTTCCAGGCCCTCTTCTGATCCTCTCCTCTGGCTCGTAGGTGGTGGGCGTTTTCAGACCTGAGACTGTGGCCTCTCAGCCAAGCCTGGGAGAAGGGGAGGAGAGTGAGTCCAACTCCGTGGAGTCCTTGGGCTTCTGCAGTGTGTGAGTGTGAGCGTGGCCTCAGCCTGGACACAGGAGCAGGGGGCTTGGGGGAGGAGGCTGGGCTAGGGGACCAGGAAGGACAGAGGGCACCGAGTGCAGGTCCCTCCACGAGCCATCGTGATGCTTTCTTCTGCCCAGGATGCCCCTGGCAGCTGTTGGCTACCTGGATGGGACCTTGGCCATCTATGACCTGTCCACACAGACCCTCAGGCACCAGTGTCAGCACCAGGTACAGGCTGTGGGGAAGCCCAGGTTCTCTGGGAGCATCTGCCTTAGACCTGGCTCCTGTCCAGTCCTCCCTATGGTCCATTATCCCTCCCTCCCTCCTTGAGAGTTGGAAGCAGATGCCCCTGACTCACCCCACTTCTGTGTACCCTTCTGCAGTCGGGCATCGTGCAGCTGCTGTGGGAGGCAGGCACCGCCGTGGTTTACACTTGCAGCCTGGACGGCATCGTGCGCCTCTGGGATGCTCGGACCGGCCGCCTGCTTACTGACTACCGGGGCCACACAGCTGAGATCCTGGACTTTGCCCTCAGCAAGTAAGTGACTTGGGCAAGGGCTGGGGTCTCTGCATATTTGGAAGGTGAGAGTAGCATTGGGGGCCCTTAAAATGTGGGAGGGTTGCTAAAGGAAGCTAGGACCCAAGGCCTGGGCCTGCCTAGGCAGCCGTGCTGGGGCCTGCGGGAGTCATCCTCTGTTGGTGGTGTGGCCTCTCATCTCACTCTTGGGCTCAGGGGCTGGGACTGCCTCCCCCATGCGGGCAGCTCTCCTCTGATTCCCAGGCTGATGGCTGGCTTCAGGAGTGTTCACTGGATGTGGGCTGGTCAGCCCAGCTCCAGGCACTAGTGGTCTAGAGTTGGGGATACACTGGAAGAGCCCCCCCAAAGTGCCCCTGGGTGGTGGGCTTGGGGTGGGCCTGTCCTTTCCAACCATGCTTTCTGTCCACAGAGATGCTTCCTTGGTGGTGACCACGTCGGGAGACCACAAAGCAAAAGTATTTTGTGTCCAGAGACCTGACCGCTAACAGCTGCATCATCTGCTTTGTGTCTGGTGTGGAGGGGGCGCAGGGAGACCCCCCACAGCAGAGGCGGTCGGGTAGGAGGGAAGAGGAGGGGAGGGGCCTCGGACTACTTTCCAACCCCTTCAAACTGACTTGCTCCCTCTCTGTCTCTTCCTTCTCTTAAGAAACCCACCCCTCAGGCCCCTCCTTCCCCCCCTCCCCTCCCCCTCGCCCAGACCTGGCAGATACTTCAGAGGGAGGTTCAGACCTCTTTCTCTTTCACTTCCTTTGCTGGTGTGAGCCATGGGGGTGTGTGTTTGTATGTGGGGAGTAGGTCTTTGAAGTTCCCGTTCTTTCCCTTCCCAAGTCTCTGGGGGTGGAAAGGAGGAAGAGATGTTAGTTAACAGATTTTAAAAATGTAAATAAAATATACTTCCCAGAGACGTGTCTGTGTGGATTTTGTGGCTGGACGTGAGGAGGAACCAGTGAGGGCCGTGTCAGGGTGTTGCTACCCTCCCCCTCTGCTGGATTTCAGGGTTCCTCAACTCACCGCCCTCACCTACAACTGCCTGCCTATCAGGAATCTCCCTGGATATATATCCTCTAGGTTCTTTCCCCAGCTGTTCACCTGTCCCTCCCTGGCTAAGACATGGAATCTCCCTGGATCCTCTAGGTTCTTTCCCCAGCTGTTCACCTGTCCCTCCCTGGCTAAGACATGGAATCTCCCTGGATCCTCTAGGTTCTTTCCCCAACTGTTCACCTGTCCCTCCCTGGCTAAGACATGGAATGAGATAACCATCACCTGGGCCGGGGGAGCTTTATTCAGTCAGAGTGGGGTCATACAGGGACACTCTCTGATCCATGATCCAGAGCCGTGGGGACATGTGGAGACGGGCTTGGCAGCCAAGATGGATGGATGCTTCTGGTGGGAATGAGCAGAGGCCCTCCCTCTAGTTCAAGTCGAGGTCCACGCTGCTTTGGCTGCTGGTATGGTAGGCGGTGCTGGGGCCAGGACTGCCCTGGGGTCTGCCCCGCAGCATCTGGAGCCACCTCTGGGCAGCCGCCCTCCAGGGGGCCGTGTAGCGCTGATCACCCAGCCCCATGGCCACGGGCACAGCCGCCGCACTGGCGCTGCCCAGTGAGATGAGGGACAGCAGAGTTCCAGGCCCCAGCGGTGGGCGCTGCTCAAAGGCCAGGACAGAGAGCAGTAGGGTGGCCACGTAGGGCCCCCAGCACAGCCCAAAGAGCAACGTGGCCCCGGCCTGCGCCCTGGCCTGCCGCCAGGTGAGGGCCCGGGCTAGGGCCGAGGGCGCCCCGCGGCACACGGCCCGCTCCAGCCGGCGTATGTCCTGCAGCTGGCGGTGTGCGGTGAGCAGCACGCGGACCGAGAGGAGGGCGGCCGCGCCCACGGCTGGCAGCAGGAGCCCATAGATTTCGAGGTAGAGGTAGGGGGCTGGGAAGACGGCCTTGGAGCTGCAGTTGCCACCAGGGGCCCAGTGGTTCCAGCCCAGGGCAGGCAGGCTGGCAAAGAGCAGGGGGGCAGCCCAGGTGAGGAGCAGGGCCAGCCTCATGCTCCCGCGGGGCCGCAGGGGCCGCAGCACGGCCATGTAGCGCTCCCCGTGCACAAGCAGGAGGTTGGCGAGCAGGGAGAGGAAGCAGAAGTTGGGAGCCAAGTAGAGGAAGAGGCAGGACCAGTAGCCCCGGCGGCTCTGGCTCCACAGGGCGGGCAGCGCAGGCAGCGCCAGCCCGGTGAGCAGCCCTGCCAGCAGCAGGCTTAGGAAGAAGCAGCCAGCGGGCGGGCTGCGCAGGCGGCGGTCCCCGGCGATGCCCAGGGCCAGGAGCAGGTTGGCAGCGACGATGAGACTTGCCAGGGCCAGGGAGAGCCCCAGGGCCCCTGCAGGAACGGGGCTGGGCACCTCCTTGGTGCTGTTGGGTGTCATCTTGGGCCTGAGGACGGGGGAGACCTGGAGCAGCAGCAGGCGTGCCTGGTCGGAAGATGGGGTGGCTGGAGTTAGGATGGGGCTGCGGATCACTGTCCTCTCTCGGCAAGTTGCTGTTGTTTCATCGCTAAGTCATATCCGATTCTTTGTGACCCCAGGGACTGTAGGTCACCAGGCTGCTCTGTCCATGGGATTTCCCAGGCCAGAATACTGGAGTGGGTAGCTCTAGTCCCTTCTCCATTGAACTATTGAGCTATTCCCCACCCAGGGACTGAACCCAAGTCTCCTGCATTGGCAGGCAGATTTCTTTACATCTGAACCATCAGGGAAGCTATCCAGAGGTTGTAGACCAATGGACTGTGGACCATATCCTGTTTGCTGATACACATTTTTCCTCCAATGAATTGCCAATTAAAGTTTACATAAAAATTAATATTTTTGGTTAAAAAAAAAATGAGGGCTTATGTAGTAGCAACCAGCTAGAGTTGAGCGGTCACTGCCTTCAGAAAGCTCCCTATAGTCCCCACCCAGCCCTTTCACCCATTTCTGTTACCTGCCTGACCCTCTCTGGGCAGCTGTGTTTATGCCTCTGGTTAGACTCACCCATCCCCACAGCATTTGGACCACCCCTGCCTCCACCAGGTGAGGCCTCTAAATCAGCTAAAGGGATAGGATGGAATCTGGCTGGTGTGTAGTGGTCCTCTGGCCAGCCAACAGCTGACAGTCTCCTTTGGGTCATGGGTGGGCCCTGGACCAGGGGCTAGGGCTGGGGTGCGGGGGGCGGGGTGGATATAAATGGAGAGTGGTCCCTGTCTTCAGATGCTTGCAGGCTGGTTGGCACCAGTGTCTTAAAAGGTGGTAGGTTACAGGGATTGGGGGTGGGGGTGGGGTGGGGCAGAAGTCAGTCTGAGGCAGGGCTCACTGAGTTAGCAGCACCAAGGGGTTGCCCTATCCCCAGCACCTCCCTTCCATCCGCCTTGTGGCTGGTTACACTTCAGTGAGCAGCCTCCGGGTAGGACTTCCAGCCCATAAACTTGACGTCCGCACCAGGCTAGCAGCTAGCAACGGGGCCTTTCCTGGGAACTGGAGGAGGGGAAGAGTTGCTGAGGGACGGGGAGGGTTGGCAGTGAGTGTGGAGGGCAAGGGGGGCTGGTGTGAGCCCAGAGATGGAGGGGGAGCTGCTGGGCAGGGCCTGGCCTCTCTGTGGCTCTGACCTGTCCCAGGCCTCCCATGCCCTGGCCCTACTGCCACATCAAGGGGATGAGGGAGGGGGTGTCCTGCCTGGGCCCTGTGGGAAACTCCTGCTTCTGTCAACAGGGGAGCAGCTGCTGTTGCTAGGATCAAAGTCAATAAGGGAAGGATTCCTACCTGCCCCCTCCCTGGAGTGAGAGGGTCGAAGGGCCTCAAGGCCACCCTGAGCACAGGAGATGCTGCCCCTTCTATTCCCAGCTCCCCCAGGTCCCCAGGCCATTGCACCCCTTTACCCTCAGCCTGGTTCCTCTTCCTCAGTGTCCCCCAGTGCCCTCTGCTGGGAACATCCTTCCCTTCCAGCGGCCCTCTGGTTTCTGTTCCCCTTCATCCCCACACTATTAACTTGTTCAAACTCCGGGAGATCTCAGGGTCCTGAAACTTCAAACCTGGACTCTGGAATCACAGGCTGGAGCTCCCAGCTCTTCTCTGGGAGTGAGTCTCCCACCCCACCTCCACCAGAGCAGCAAGAAAGGCAGGCAGGGTCAGCCCTGCGTGGGGGGGGTGGGGGGGGCAGTACATCTCAGCAGTCCCAACCTGGAGGCTCTGGTGGTTTGGGCTGGGTGCAATGGCCTCTTCAGGCCCTGAGGCTGAAGTCTCCAGGTGTGGTCCAGGGGCCGGGTGGGGGCTAGGGTTAGGGTTAGGTAGCTACTCACATGACTGTAGGTGACAGGTGTGGCTTGCCCAGCCTGGGCTCCCCTCCGAGTGTCAGGGAGCTGTCCCGGCCAGCGCTGCAGGGCTTCTGGCGATGTCTGGTGTCCTGACCATTGAGGTCATGGTACCTCCACTGTGTGGAGACAGCAGGGCCCCCAGCTCTCTGCTGCCCTGGCTCTGCCCTTGCCTGGGATGGAGCTGAGGCTGGTGGGACCCAGCCTGGCCCCGCCTCTGGGGGTGGGGCCTGACACACCCTGAGCTGCTGTACTGGGAAGGCTTCCTCCCTTCTCCGCTCCCCCCGCCACCCCCTCCATGTCCTCCTCCTGTACCAGTGGCCCTGTCTCCAGCCACTGGACATAGCTTGCCACCAAGGAGGCAGCTTGGAGCTCTCTGGCCTGCTACTGCTTAGCTAATCTGAGGAATGCATTCCAGTTAACCAACAAAGATTTAGTCCATCCTCCCCACCTCCCAGCTGATATATTTACATTTTATAAATATATCAGTGGCCAGTCAGCTGATAGCGCATCCAGCTCTGTAATTCTGCCAGTCTGCTGAGTACAGTCTGATGGTGGTGGTGGTGGGGGCGTTTGGAATCTGAGAATCTTCGCTATCTTCCCTTCCTATCACCTGATGGGAACTTTCAGCTTATAAAAGCCAGCCTTGCCTTCTAGAATCTGGGGTCATTCCACACTTTTCTCATTTGCTTTGTGAGTCACGTTTTGGGCTCAGAGGCATGAATGGCCCTGGGGGTGTGACTCTGGGCAAGCCATCTCTCTGGGCCTCTATTTTCTCACCTGTAAAATGGGAACAAGGCAAGGCATCAGTCAGTGTTGCCAGGAGTCTTATGGGATAATATGTGTAACTGCACAAACCCCACTGCCGGACACCTAACGGGGGAGGGGTCTCAAGTGACATCCTTCTTCTCTCCTCCATGAAGACTGAGAAACAGCCAAAGCTTGAATCAGAAGGCCTGGGTTTAAATCTCAAGAATCCTAGTTGGATCCTATTTTTCTGGCTGTGTAAACTTGAGCAAATTATTAAATTCTCTTACCTCAGTTTCCTCATCCTTAAAATGGGGGCTCATACCATTTTCATCTAATGTAAGACTAAATGAGAAAATGTGGGGAGACTTCCCTGGAGGTCCAGGGGTTGACTCCACCCTTCAACTACAGGGGCACAGGTTCAATCTCTAGTTGGAGTATATCCCACATGCCACGTGGTGTGGTCAAAAAAAAGTGTAGTAAGGACTTGGGTCAGTGGTTGGCACATAAGCAGTCAACGAAAGGAACTTCTGGCCTTCTCTGCACGTCCCCTCTGAGAATTCCATTGAAATAAGTGGATGAAGAGCTTGTGAATAGCAAGATAGTAATGACACTTTCACTTCACAAGGAAACACAGGAAACTGAGTGAGAGGAAGGGCAAGTTCAAGGCTAGGAAGCACTGATTTCCATCTTGTGTCAAGTGTAACTTTGGGGAGAGGGAGAGAAGGAGCAGTTACATTTTCTTGAGACCTGAAATGGGAGAAAACAGGCTAAAACTTCAGCAAGAAAGCTGGAGGTTAGACATTAGGAAAAGCTTTCTCGTTCAGGAGCACATGAAGATGGAACAAGGGGTCCTCTGCCCTCTCCCAAGAAGATCTGGGCCTGAAGGGTTGGAGGCCTGAGAGGTCTGGCTCTGCCAACTCTGCATGGCAGTCAGGGGTCCTGGAGAGAAGGGCCTCTGGACGAAAAGTGGGAGAAGCATCCAGTCTCAGGCCTGTCCTCAAGGGAGCTGGTGGCTAGGAGGACGCAGCGTTCCAGGGGATGGCTCCCAGCCCCACGCCCTCTGGTTGGGCAGAAGTCAAGAGGCTCTGGGAGAGTTCAGACTGAGGTCTGGACAGAAGTGGAGTGGGGCCCCTCAGATCCTGAACTGCCGAGAATAAACAGACCTCCCTCTGTTCCCAGCCCTGGCCTCCTCCCGGCAGCCTCCAGGATGTCTGTTTCTTCTCCGCTGCTCTGTCTAAACAGTGTGTGGGATGACGTGTAAAGAACAACTCTGGGAGCAGGAGTCGGGCAGCCTGGGTTCTGTCCTCCGCTCAGCTGTTTGTTCCTGACTTGACCGTCTGGTTCCTCTGTTCCATCAATCCCTGGGACTGACTCATCCGCAGTCTTCTCTCCTTTGCTCACAGGAGGGCTCTGATGCAGGAAGTCTTCAGATGCTCCAATCAGCTGACTCTTCAGGCCCTAGAGTCCCCACCCCAGTCCCTCTTCTCTCCTTAGGTCCAGCCTGTTATCACGATGCCTGATGTGGACAGGGGCAGGAAACGCACCTGGATTGCCTTAGTCACTCTGTTCTCCTGAGCATTTAACTTTTCTGTTGACCCTGGGTGTCTGGGACTGGGTGGTGAGGGTCGGGAGGTACTGACTGGATGAACAGAGGCAAAGTGGTGATGAGTGGCTATCGAACAGTTCAACCTTCCCCAGATGCAACAGCAGACGAGCCCCTGGGAGTCTCTGGAGGGTTGTGGGCACAATACTGTGACCAAGATTGAGGAAGCCCTAAGTCAGCTATATGAGCAGAGGAAACTGGTCCTTCCTGTTAGGGATAAATGACAGATCTCTCACAGAAATTTAACAGTGCTTTTAGCAATCCCCAGAAGGGGGCAGCATTGCTTGAACTCAGAATAGCCCCAAGAATGGACCCAGGCTTGGGTCTTGGGCCTCTGTGGCTGCTGGGCTGAGGCTGAGGGTCCATCAGGCCTACTTTGAATGAGACTGAAGGAACTGAAATGGTAACAGCGGAGAAGCAGCTCTGGGTATGTGGGCTGACACAGAAGCTGGTGTTACTTCCTCTTCCTGGCTTCAATTTCCCGCCCTTTGGTTCCACACTTCTACTTCCTGTTACTGTCTTGTCTTCCCTCCAAGCTCCTGGTTTTTAGCTTCTCCAGGTCCCACTTTCTCCAGACTTGCAGATACCCACCAACACCTTCCTCACCTCAAACTGCAGTATGAGGGCCACCAGCAAAAAATAGCACCATTTTTGGGGAGGATCTGAAAAACCCAAAGCAGAATAACCTTGGTTTATGCTGCCTTCTTATCCCCTTGGGAGTGTAAGAATGTAACTAAGATTTATTAGAAAGCATTATCAACTATAATCATAGGCATTATCAGTCAGTTCAGTTCAGTCACTCAGTTGTGTCTATTTGTGACCCCATGGACCACAGCACGCCAGGCCTCCCCGTCCATTACCAACTCCTGGAGTTTACTCAAACTCATTTCCATTGAGTCAGTGATGCCATCCAACCATCTCATCCTCTGTCGTCCCCTTCTCCCACCTTCAATCTTTCCCAGCATCAGGGTCTTTTCCAATGAATCAGTTCTTCAAATCAGGTGGCCAAAATATTGGAGTTTCAGCTTCAGCATCAGTCCTTTCAATGAATAATCAGGACTGATTTCCTTTAGCATGAACTGGTTGGATCTCCTTGCAGTCCAAGGGACTCTCAAGGGTCTTCTCCAATACCACAGTTCAAAAGCATCAATTCTTCAGTGCTCAGCTTTCTTTATAGTCCAACTCTCACATCCATACATGACTACTAAAAAAACCATAGCTTTGACTAGACGGACCTTTGTTGGCAAAATGATTTCTCTGCTTTTTAACATGCTGTCTATGTAGGTCGTAACTTTTCTTCCAAGGAGCAAGGGTCTTAATTTCACACTGCAGTCACCATCTTCGATTTTGGAGCCCTAAAACATAAAAGTCTGCCACCGTCTCCCCATCTATTTGCCATGAAGTGATGGGACCAGATGCCACTATCTTAGCTTTCTGAATGTTGAGCTTTAAGCCAACTTTTTCACTCATTATAAATGCTTACTATGTGATAGGCACTTATCTGTTGTCTACTCCTTTTAAGAGCCCCTTGAGATAGGTGGAGTCATGTCCAACCAAAGATGAGGCCACTGGTGCTCAGATTAAGAAATCTACTCAGTCACATAGCTACTAAGTGGAACCTGGATTCAAACCCAGGTCTCTCTAAGAACACTTTTGCAGCTCTCAAGTTTACATCCCAGCTTATCTACACCTCCCAGGTATGGATCTTTGGGCAAAGGAGCAAATTAGCACCAATTGAGATTAGATCCCATTTTCCCAGCCCACATCCTCAGCGTGCTGAAGTCCTCCTACAATGGGCTTTGGCTGAAGTTACAGTGGGCCTTCGTCCATAACGGTGAAGGAGGACCCTTGAGAAAGAGTTAAGTGTGCCCTGGAAACAGATGTAGACAAAGGAGTGTCTGGAGGGGGTTTTCCTCAGTATGAGTTTTTATGCTGATGAAGTCTTGGAATTAAGACAATTCCTTATGGTTTACTGCTGTAAAAAATACTTAATGCCTCTCTTTTCCTCCTAACTCCCTATCTTCTAAGCAATTTTGGTTTTGCCATTTATAGCACTTTCCAGAAATCCGATCCCTATTATTGGCAAAATATAGTTGAGTTCCAACTTACTAAGGAGGTATGTTCTAAACTCAGAGGGATGGCAAACACACTTTCTAGCAAAATTACCTTCACAAACCCCTTACACAGGGGTACAGAACACATCTATGTCACTGTCTCCCAATAGATCTAACTTAGCCCAGTTTTCCATCTACCAGAGGTAGGTGATGAGGGACCACATCCCAGGATAACACAGGGCAGACTAGGCAGTGAGCTCTCTCCACTGCAGGTCCCGGTTGGCACCACCAAGGGGATAGCACTCTCCAGGGCAATTGTTTGTTGAGAGCATGGGAGCATAACTGATCCTGAGCTTTCCAGAATCTTGTTTATAAAGAGTAAAGTGGGGGGGTACTCTTTTGCCCCCTTCTGATGCCTATGTCAGAAGCTTTCTCTATCTCCTTTATACTTTAATAAAACTTTATTACACAAAAGCTCTGAGCGATCCAGCCTCGTCTCTGGCCCCGGATTGAATTTGTCTCCTCCGGAGGCCAAGAATCCCGCGTCTAAGCGTTCAGCAACANAAGTGATGTCATTTTATGTCTTTACTTTCTATGCTCTGGCTTTGTACGTTTCAGATGGGCCTGATAATCTATGTGAGCCTACTTCTGCTGACTCCAGAAATCCTGAGTCTGCCATTTGATCCTCAAGACAATGCCTTCCTGTCCTGGGCTCACTCCTATGCTGCATTCCACAATCGGTCTAACTGCTGGGTCTGCGGAGCACTCCCCACTTCATCAGTGGA